AAAATATTTAAAAAAAAAAAACAACCCACTTTAATCCATTCACTTTTCTGTAGGTCCATTTTACTAACCTGTACTGGATTTAATAGTCTCCTTCCCAATCGACTGGCCCAGCAGATCATACTGATTTAACCTGGAGCCATCAGGAGCCACCTGTACCGAATCAGACGCATTGTAAGTCCAAATATAGGTGACCTCTGAGGTTGTATACGCATCTGTAGAAAATCAGGAGGGGGAGAAACTTTTAAGCACTTGATAGTATTATCGATCAAGAAAATACAACACCAAAGTTTGCAGATTTGGGTAGAATCACTTTTTACTAAAAGTTAAAAAAAAAAAAAATCTGTATTTATAGATGACATTTAAAAGTAAAAAACTTACTCTTAAATTTTTACAGCTTTAATATAAAGTATATAAAACAGACAAAAAGACACCAGCATGAGCATGAGAGTATTTTTCACTGGACACATTACAAGAGGTGAAGAGCACTTTTTTAAAAATATCTAGTAAAAATCACTGGTCCCTGAGAAAGCTAAAGCCTTTCCTTTAATCCCTATACTGCAGATGAAGATATTGTAGTAGGCAAACTATAGATGTCAAAAGCCTAGCTAAAGAAGGTGTCTTAGAAATACAGCTAGCAGTAATGAAATAGTAGTCATAATCCAACACAGCATTTGTTTCTGGAAATTAAAACAACTCAGTTAAGAATGTAATGGCATAGCTACCCTGATACTAGGCATTTCATTAGAAAAATGAGAAATATTACAGAGTATGTAAAAGAAATCAGCATGCTACAGATATGTCAAGTTGCAAATCCTTCATAAAACATGATTTTTAAGTGAAGTAATTCCCCCAGATCTCAGTGGGCTGCATTGTCACAGGATTAGTTAAGGTACAAATTAGCACAGAGAGAGACCAGGTACACATGTCTTCTTTATTTGGCCAACGATGCAGAATTTAACAGAAGTGGAATTTCTCTAGAGTTGGCATACAGGCGACATGTCTTGTCCTAGCCTTTCGCTGACCCTGTCATTTTCTGTGCCTCTGTATGCCCTGTGGGCTGCAAGGAGGCAGGGTCACCTCAGAGTTAAATAAACAGACAATTCTTGCTATACAGCTGCCCTTTTAAAGAACATTTATGTGTTTCTGCTCTTGGGAATTCTCTGAAATATTGTGAACTCCTAGGTCTTGAGCAACACTGAGCACTGCTGTCCTATTTTCAACTGTGAGAGAGAAAAAGGCAGCTGTATCCCTGACAACAGCTCTACTTCCAGCCCACCAGGATGCAGCAAAGTTAATTTCTCTACCATCTACATATTCTCGGTTAAGCCATGGATGATGCTACCAGTTAATATACAGGGCTACTAACTGAAAGGTTCTAAGTTCAAGTTAACTCAGTGAGAGGCATCTCAGATAACCTAGCCGCCAACTTTGAAAAACCATTGAAAATCTTGTGGAGCACAGTTCTTGCCTAGCCTCTAACAAATACAGGGTGCCAGGAGTCAGAGCCAAACAAAAGCAACTAACATTTTCCTTTTTCATGCTGGAGGCGGTTCTGCTACTGAACTTCATCAAGGTATAGTGCCACAAATCAAGTAACAAGAGAATTAGTATTTATATGTCCATGCTTTATTCTATGTAAGGATTTGTAATGGTATGTTGTTATGTCTGGTTCTTTAATTATCATTTCTAAATACAGTGAAATACTGATTGCATGTATTAGTATAACCGTGCTCATGCAAAATCTATACCTAGACTATAAGGATATTGTACGAACAGAGCAAGGACATACAGCTGGGTTTAAAATTGGGGAACGTGTGCATCCATGCTGTATCCTTTCTTCAGACCTATTTAATCTGTATGCTGAGCTGATTATTCAAGAAGTCTGAGCCTATGAAGAAAAAGTGGCAACAGGATTGGAGAAAGATTCATCAATAACTTTTCAAGATACCAAATCTTGCTTGTTGAAAGTGAGGACTTGAAGCACTTGCTGCAAAAGGTAAATTCTGCAGCCCTCAAGATGGATTGTTTCTCAATATCAAGAAAACAAAAATCCTCACTACTGGGCCAACAAATAGCATCACAATGGACAGAGAACGGATTCAGGTTGTCAATGACTTCAGCTTACTTAGTTCCTTCCATCCATAATCAATACACTTGGTACCAGCAGTCAGGAGACATCCTGGACTGGGGAAGCCTGCAGTCCAGGGAACTTTTCAAATTACTGAGGAGTAACGGTAACAGTTTGAGAACTAAGGGGTACCTGATTCAGACCATAGTCTTTCCAGTTACTTGCTATGCATCTAAGTGCTGGATAGTGAATAAGGAAGGTAGAAGAAATGATGCTTTTCACCTGTGGTGTTGGAGAAGAGTGCTGAAGATTCCATGAACTGCCTACTGAACAGATATGTCCTATAGAAGGTGCTGCCAGAGTGTTCCCTGGAGGTAATCATGAGGAAGCTTCATCTTACATTCTCTGGGTATTGTTGCCTGGTGAGATTATACCTTGCAGACCCATCTCATGCTTGGAGAGCTAGAGGTGTGGCGGAAGAGAGGAAGACCCTCAACAAAGTATGATGACACACTGACTATGGCAAATGGCCTGAGTATCAGAGATTGTGAGCTTGACAACAATAACATCTACATCTGTGAATTATAAGAGATGTCTTTGTGTTGTGGTGTTAGAGAAAGTACTGAATGGATAGTGAACCTGTCTCATGCACATCTCTCGGTCATGTCAAGAGGGACCAGTCCTTGGAAAAAGACATCATGCAGGGGAAAGTAGAAGGTCAGAGAAAGAGAAGAAGACCCCAAACAAGATGGATTTATACAGTGCCTGTAACAATGACCTTGAGAATATCAGAGACTGTGTAGATGGTCCAGGACAGGGCAAGATTCAGATCCACTGTTCATAGGGTCGCTCTAAATTGTACTTCACTCAATGGCACTTAACAGCTGCAACAGCAAAGATAACAACTGCATCTCTACCCCTCTATGGATAAAGTTATCAGATGCCACTGAGTTGATTCTAACTCAGAGAAACTCCATATACAACAGATCATGTTCCCTATCCTTGCCTGGAAGGAGCACCCTGGTTGAACTTCCACAAAGACCAACTTTGGGATGGATGTTTAGTAGTCTTCTCAAACATCACAACTCAAAGACTTCCTGTAATCCATAAATAAAGATAAATACCAACAAATGCTAACAGTATTTCACTAGTTTTATCATTCACAAATGCTATTTGCAAATCTGGCGTTTCACTATGCCACTTAAAACCCATATCTCTAGAGAGCAAGACATGGTATTAGTTCTCTTGTTATTTGATCTCACCATCCTTGCTTCTCATATACTTCTGATTCTACTTCTTCCAACATAAGATTTGTTGGTTCTTTTGTTACTCCACAATACTGTCAATATTTTCCTACCTCAACAAAAACTAAAAAAAAAAAAACACCTCCCATAAAAGGGCCAATAAATAACACTATGATAAATGGAAGTATGAATATTATCAATGACTACATTTTCATTTACTGTTAATGACTAATAAATCAGCAGTTAACCAAACAAATGATGTATTGCATTAGGTAAATCTGCTGCAAAGGACATTTTTAAAATTTTATTAATTTTGATAAACATTTACAGAGATTTTGGATTTCCATTCATTCATTGTTGCACTTTTCTCCCTCCCCACCCCTCCCCCGACTTCGCTCTTCTCTTTAAGGTAAAAGAATTCCTTCACTGGTACACAATCCCCCACCCTGAGTACACTCCACTATGCAACCTTCATTCTGGACTCCTGTGATAACCATAATACCCTATCATAATATCACTTTTAAACTGTTCTCTCCCTCATCTGTTTCAATGCTGTATACATAATTTATCCAGTGTTTCTCAGTCTTACCCCAACCTAGATGTTAGTCCCATTCTACAACAGTGGTACTATTCAGTATTTGTCTTTTTTGTGACTGAGATATTTCACTCAGCATAATGTTGCAAAGGACAACGTTTAAAGTCTTAAAAAAGAAAAACATAAATCCTTTGATTAAAACACTCCTGACCAAAACCAGAATATTTTCAATAACCTTAGATGCACGTGAAAGCTAAGCAATAATGCAGACTAAAGAAAGAACGCATGTATTTGAGTCATGGTGTTGGTAAAAGATAATGATTGTGTCTTGGACTGCTGGAGGAAGACACTGACACGGCTGGGAAGAAACAGCCAGGCTGCGTCTCAGAAGTGGGAATGACAAGTCTTCCCCTCACATACTCTGGACATGTTATTAGGAGCAAGTGTCTGGAGAAGGATATCAAGCTTGGTAAAAAGTCAGTGAAAATGAGGAAGGTGCTCATGGAATGAGTTGACACAGTAGCTACAACAAAGAATTCACACATGACAACAATTCTGAGGATGGCACAGTGGTGGGCAGTGCTTCATTCTATTGTACACAGGTTCTATAGGAGGTAGAATGAACCTGAGGACCCACATTTAACAAGCACATTCATTACCACCGCTTACAGTGTTGAAAAGTGCTTGCAAACAGTCACAGATGCAAGAACCCCAAAAGGACAGATCTACTCTGCATATTCATGATCTTTATGAATCAGCATCAACTAGTTTGAAACTTGTTTATCTTACAAATGTTATGTGAGAAATTTTATGAAATGGAAATCCAAAAATATGCATATATTTTTTTTTTCTCTTATGTCTCTATATATTTTTTCTAAACAGCAAAGAAATATATTTATTTATATCTATATTGTTGTTATGTGCCATAGAGTCACATGCAACTCACAGTGACCCTAAGCACAAGAGCTATGAACCCTACTCTATTCTGAACCAATCCTGCTGTCTCTGACACTCCTACCCCCACCACCCCAGTTACTATGTCAATCCATCTTTTCCGGAGTCTTCCTCTCCTGTGCTGTCCCTCCATCTTTACAAACATGATGTCCTTCCCCCAAGACCTGCCCCTCCTTGTAACATGTCCATAGTGTGTGAGCTAGAGTTTCAAAATCCTTGCCTCCATGAAGCAGCTTGGTTTCACTCTCTCCAAGACAGACCTGTTTGTTCTCCTGGTAAAATCCATGGTTTATGTTCAAGACTCTTTTGCAGCACCACAACTCAAAGGCATTGATTCCTTCTTTATCATACTTTGTCACTTTCCAACTGTTTGATGCATAGCAAGTAATTGCAAAGATGGTTGGATAAGGT